TTGGTTGTGCGTTTGTCACTCTTCGCGCGGGACGACCACGTTAGTCCAAGGTAGCAGGATGAGAGATGGAGACGAGACGAATATGCCATCTGGGCTTGGTACCTCTAGTCAGAAAAGAGTCCAAAGAGGCCATGAGGGGAAGGGAGTTGCATTAGCTCTGCAGAGAAATGCAGAAACGCAAGCAGAGCAGAAGCCCTCTCTCTCTCTCCTGAGTTCTGAGGGTATCCCCCGACCGCCAAGGACTTTGTTTCAAGTCGTGCCAGTGGTTGAGAGCGTCCCGAGGATGAGACTGCCTTGTGTCTATCTGGTGCGGGCCTTTGCAGGTCATGGCAGGATACCTGCTGGTTCTCTTGGTGGTCTTTTTGATCTGTGTGGCTTTCTGGGCCTGTCCTGTCCGGTGTTACTATCGTACCCATGACTGGATATTCCCATTCCCGGTTCCCAGTCGCCGGCCCCATCGTCCGAGCCAGCCCCCGGGCGCAGCAGCAGGAGCTTGCATGTCATGGCCCCATGGGTGGTCTTTTCTTTCGTTTCTCTCCAAAAGCCAAAAAGGTAAAGGCTACCTTATTGTGGGAGAAGCGCTATCGATAAGAACTCTATCCCACGCCAAAACTCTAAGTCTATCTGGATCTCACGGGCCATGTCTCCACTCTCTAAGGTCAAAAACTCCACCGGCACGTCAAACATGACACCCCATTGGTCCCAAATCCTGGAGGCTGGTCATGCAGCCGACGACAAGCCTCGCTATGATTCGCCAGAGACGCGAAAGGTACGCGTCTGTGCCTGGGGAGGTGGACGGGAGCTACGGGAGCGCGTCTATCGTCGACGACCAGTCGTTTCGTGCTGGGTGTTATAAGTCTAAGCGCTGACCACACACTATCTTACCTTTACACTACCTGTGTGACAGTGTCTGTGGCATTTGACAGAGGCAGATCCCCCCCCGTCTGATGTTTCCACTTTGACTGACTGAAGGACCTTTCGGTTCCGTGGATTCGCTTCCCAGTGTCTTGTCTGCCGGGTGGATCTTTTGATGATCATGGGCACGGTAGAGGATGTGTTCGAGAGTCCGGCGTTTCCTTCGAGCCCTCTTACTCAATGTTTTCGGCTTCCCCTCCGCGTGGCGATATATCTATCCTAGCCTGGTAGCGTGGTAGTCTGAGGAGGGAGCCCGCTAGCATGGAAGATGCATCAACTTCGAAAGGAACGAAGGGTCCCCTCTTGCCGTGGTTCGTCCACAGTCTCGATCTTGAGGCTTTGGTGTTGAAGCCTTCCCGCTCTCGCTTTCGCCCTCGAAAGATGGGAGAACCGACCTCTGGTGACCTGATCAGCATTGTGGCATAATGATCTGAGTCTTGTTTGAAACCGTCGACCAGATGCTACCACCGCCTTCGCCCGTGAAAGACAACATTAATCACCACTCGGCTGGCAACCTACCTTACAGTGTACACCACGCCACACCATCCATCCAACAGCCAGCCGTGCCGGCCATACCTCCATTTTCGCGAAACACAGGGCGACGACGTGCGAGGCTAGGGCTGTGGCCAAAAACCCCTCGTCTATCCCATGTAAGTCTCCCCTTGGCAAATGTACGGTTTTCCGGACATGGACGCACGAACGGCAAAGCTCCAGGTCAGCAAGACTGCAAGAGAAGCCAGAAGCATAGGCATAGGCAAAGGCATAGGCAAGGCAGGTTCAAGGGTGTTGACTTGCCGCGCATAGTCCACTTCCGTTGCTGCAGTACGTCTGCGGATACAGTACCTAGCGTCGTCGTCCGCTCCTACCCTCGACCACACCCCCATGCATGCCACGGCCGATGGATGAGAGTTATGACTCTTCTCTCTCTCAACGATCCACCGCATTCTGCATACGTTCGCCCATTGACCAGTGAGGACCGTCGCGCAAATGCTCTCGTCCGCGAATCAACCGCGGATCAGACGGGAAACCGTCGCCAGCTTGAAATCTGACCAATCACCTTGGTCTTTTATCCTAGGAATAACTGAAAGAACCGAACGAATCCCACGCGGTGAGAGACGTCGTCCAAAAGGTTCGTCTGTCCACTCGGCGACCCATGCGAAACCCCCACAATTTGTTTGCGCATTTGCGGGTTCGGACATCAACCGGCGCATCCCATCCTTTCCTTCTCCCAGACGCTTCCCACGAAACTCCAATTCCAGGTTGGAGGTTGACGTAGCCCGGCCACCCGGCCGGCCTTCTCATGGCTCATGGCTCATGCAGTATCCAACGACTCCACAGCAATTCGTCCACAGGCCGGCAAGGCACTCTTGAATGGCTCGGCTGTCTCCAGATTGAAGCACACAACCATTCCTCAAATCGACCTCTTTACCATAGAACTAAATGGGGCTGACATAACTACAGGTCGAAACACCACCACCACCACCACTACCACCACCCACAACAAAGATACAGACCACAGACTGCAGACCACAACTCAAGCTCAAGAACTCGGGGTACCTTACTAATTATGTAGAGTCTCTTCGAAACAGCTCCCTCATGATCCCAAGCCCGCGTCAACGGTCTGGTCTGAGCAACAGCGCAAGGGTCCGGGTCCCCTTCCTGCATCTCTCAGACTCCCGCCACAAAATGTCACTGACCTGCATACAATCCGTCCCATGATCTCTCTTGTCAACTTCAAGTCTAAGTCTAAGTCTACGTGTATGCATACTCCGTACATCAACCTAACTTAGTACTTTAGTCAACATACTCCCCCCAAAACGGACAACACAGCACAGCACAGCACAGCAAAACAACCCGCCCTGAAAAGCTTCGACTCTTCTCAACGCATCGTTTGTTCTTTCCCCTTTGCAACTCCCATGCATCGCAGCACTTTGCATCACACCGTCCGTCACAGTCACAGACAACCCTTGGAGACTACCATCACCCATTCACCCATCACCCATAATTAAAGGCAACCCCAGTACTCCGTCCGTACGTACACCGACAACCACAATCCGTGAGACCAATAAAAATCAACCCTGGTTGATCGTCACCTGGTGTCCACATCACGACTGCATCGTCCCCATTATCAAAAAAACCACACCCTCCCTTCGCTACCGGTCTCATTACCATTGAACCGCACACCCAGTACCAATCCCATATGCCATGCCGGCCGACAAACCACAAGCTTTTTTTCTCTCAACTCAAGAACTTTCAAAACTCCCCATGTCTATCCGTACTACATCCATCATCAGACCAGGGGTACAGCCAAGCCCAGCGGTAAAAGAGAGACACGGACAGCAGAGACCCTTGGAGCCACGTCATGCACATCTCCTGGTCATTCCCGCCGTCCCGGAGCATCGCAAAACGAGTCCATCGACGCCGGTGAACCAAACACATATCCCACAACTTTGCGACAGAACTCTTCTCTTCCCAAAACCCATGAGGGCCTGTGGTCCACGGTGTCCATTGTCAACACACCCCGGTCTCACATTTCCAAGACCTTAGACCCAAGACCCAAGACTCGAGAGCCCAAATACCCAAATGACAAGGCCATCGTCATCAAAAACCCACAACCCACGTTTTCCTCCCAAGACCAATAACCCCTACCCAACATCCCCGGTCTCCCAACTCCTAGTCTTATATCCACTATGAAAATCCACCAAACCACTGCATCAAAAAATACCCATGCATCACGAACCAAACATTCAAACAAAAGGAAGAAGAAAAAATCATATCCACAACTTTAACCCAGCCCCCAGACACTGACCGCACCGCAAGTTCGCAACGACGCACTTACACACCACACACGCACACACACACCGACAAATCGTCAAAAACCCTCGTCCGTCCACACAACAAGTCCACGACAAATTTTTTATATTGAAGCCCAAGCGTTTCCCAAGGGTGCAAAAACCAAGGCAATGCCCACGACGTGGTCGACATTGTGACTAACACACCAAGCCTAAGCGCCGTCCATGTTCAACCAAGTTACCGACATACATCAAAACGAACAAAATAGACACGCCCCCGGGGAACAAGAAGACCACGATATCCTTTTTTTTTCCCCTTTTTCTTCTTACACCACCCCCCCCCCCCCCCAAGCCGCGCGGAAACTGTCCTATCGCTTTCCTCCAACCCTTGACTATGTCCATCCCATGCCGAAACAACTTGCGGTAAAGAGCAGGTTAGCATCGTCTAGACGACACGGCCTCTTCACCGTCAATGATTCAATCTTCCTCCCCCAGCCACGAAAGTGGCCAGCCAGGGATGATTTCCCAATGTCGTGGCATTTCGCAATGAGTCAAAAATCGACATGATCCCTTGTTAGTTTCCCAGAACGAGACTTTTCGGTCTCGGCTACTCAAAATCCATGTCTTCAAGTGATGGGAAAAAAAAAAATTCAAAATCCAGATGTAAAATCCATCCACAGGCCGGTCAAACACACCAGGTCCGACGACGAAAGTTTATAAAACGCAAAATAGTAGTAATTCTAACCCACCAGCTTTCTGTGCGAATAACCGGGGGGGGTTCATTAAGAAAACTACTGATCCCGAGTCCTCTCCAAGACACCTACTGTCTCCCGCACCCGGCTTCTGGTCAACCTAATGACCCTGATCCACTTCCGAGATAGGGAATACTGTTGTGTGCAGGAAATCAGTCCACGTCAACTTGCGCATGCGCAACGATTGGCCCGACGCAACTCCATCTTCCCGCTTGCAAAATGTAAAGCTAACCACCACCCCCTTCCGCCCTCGCCGCGCAGTTTCGTCCATAGTCGTTCACCCAACCATAAAGGCAAGGCTGTCGTCGCGCATTTCGTCGCGCATCGTCACGCTGCTGTCTGAGTCTCCTTCCCTCCGATTTCGCTTCGAGAGTTTCTTGTCGCAACTCGTACACTTTTGTCGTACATGATGTTCCTCGCCTCTTCCCGTGACTTCGCACCACCTTTGCTCGCGGTCGCGCGACACACCCATCCATCCCGTCCAGCGTACTGTACGCCCCTTTTTCCAACGGCATGCGCGCTAGCCAATCATTCCAAACGCTCATCCTTGCTTCCCACCGCGTTTGTTCTTGCCCCTTCGGCGCGATGCCGCCGAGCCCCCACCGTTCTGCTGCTGCTGCGCGGCTCCCGCATTGGAGTTTCCGGAATGGTTCCTTGTCCTCTGCTTCTTCGGTGGATTCGGTCCTGCTCGCCCGTGTTGCTGCGACTGCGGTGCTGGGGGCTTGGGGGGCAAACCGTTCGCCGGCTGGCGCGACTGGTTGTTGTGGCTTCTAGACATTCGCGAGTACGAGCCCTGTGGTGGCGGACCTGGAGGTGGAGGTCCTGGAGGGAGGGGAGGCTGCTGCGCTGACCACCCATTTCGCTGCTGGCCACCGCGCCCGTTTGACTGCGTCTGCGGTGGTGGTCCAAAGTTGCCGGCGTTGATCTGGAGGTTGGTCGACATCTGGATGTTGCCGAGTGGAGCACGCGGCTTCACCTTCTGACTGATGAACTCGCCCTCCTCCGACCCGTCGCTATCGGGGTAGAAGATGTGGTTTCGCTTGGCTGCAGAGCCCTTGATCGAGAGAGGGGCGAACTTGGGGTTCTGGGGCTGACTAGCGAAGTCGCTGATCGGCCAATCGGTTGCGTTCTTGTCGACGTAGAGGTGTCTGTTCTTGAGCGTCCACGTTTCGCTTTTCGGTCTGTCACGGTTCAGATGACAATCGGAAGAGTAGTGGCTCTCGTTTCCGCAAAAGCCGCAGAAGGCGGGGAACGGCTTGACCTTCTTGATCATCCTCGGAGGCTTGTATGACCGCCAGACTCTCTCGCACTCGTTCTCCTGATGAGCCTGGGAGCCACATAGGGCACACTCCATACCCTCCTCATCCAGATGAATGAGTTTCTCCTTGCACTGGGTCTTGCCGTGGCCGAGCTGGCGACACTTAGTGCACCTCTCGCGTGTAGGGCAGTTCCACGAAAAGTGGTCGGTATGTTCGCAGAACTTGCAACGAGTGTTGGGGCAAGCCATCGAGGTGTGTCCGAGAGTTGCGCAGTACACGCAGATCTGGGCGGTGTCTGCCAGGCCAGGGAAGTACTTTCGTTGCTGCTCCAGGTCCTCCTCCTCGGTCATGATCGCCGGTCCAGGTTCACCTTGCTCTTCCTCCATCTCCTCGTCCTCGTCGTCCACCACTTCCACCACGTCGTTTTGAGATGGTGTTGTAGCCGAATGTTGATCGCTGGACTCCCGTCTGGCACCGGAAGGTGATACTTTTTGAATGTCGTCGTCGACCTCGTCCTCGTCGTCGTGGATGATCAGGGGCGACTCTTCCGATCCTAGCTGGCGTGTAGGCTTCTTCACAGCCGACGCCAGGATGGAGGCCATGTCAGTCCTCGTTTCGGGCTTGCGTGACTCGGTGGTGGCGGCCGGGGACTGCCTCTTCTTATTCCACTGCGCCCGATGCGCAATGTAGTCCTGCAGAGCGGCGACGAGAATTTCGGGCGTGAGCAGCTGCTCCTGCTCGCTATTGCGGCTGATGAATGACTGGGCCCAGCTCTTAAACTTGGATCTCCACACTCCACTGCCTAGGTTGTTTCCCTTTGGTTGCAAAAGCGTCTTCTTGTTGGGTTGGAAGAAAGTCATACCCTCATAGACGAAAGCACTCTTTTCATTTTGTGCCTTTTCTTTCTCGAGAGCGGCGGCTTCGGCTCTTCGCTGCTGTCGAGAGATTTTGGGCTCCTTTGATGCCGGTTGGGCAGGTTGGGCTGGCTCGGTTGCCTCGGTCGGTGCAGGCGCTTCTTGAGAATCGGATGCAGGTGTGGCAGCAGGCGCGCTTTCCTCCTCAGCAATAGAGACCTTGGCCGGCACCGGTGCGGCCTTGGTCTTGGGCCCTCCAAGTGATGTCCGGATCTGGGACGTGATGCCTTGATTCCATCCAACTTGAGATGGGCCACTCGCCGCCGCCGACATTGAACGGGTCGTCCGTTTGCTGCCTGCATCTGACTCTTCCCCCGAAGAAGACGCCTTTGAACGCGTGCGAGATCCGGCGTTTCCTCCACTCTCTGCGGCGACGACCCTCTGGTCTTCGGATTCGGGTTCGGAAGGTAGAACCTCTCCGTCTTCCTCCAGCTCGCCTTCATCGGCGCCTTCCGAGTCCATTGACACATCCTGCTCGACTGATTGACCGATTTGCTCCGTTCTCGCTCGCTTGGCCTCGGGCTCATGCGATGAGGCCCGATGAGATTGTGATCCGTTGGGCATCATATCTCCCTGCTCAACGTCTTCCAGCGACCGCTTCTTCGATACTCGCTTGGCATCGTTGCCAGTGCTAAGCACCGGAACGGCTTGTGCTGCTGACTCTGATGTCTCCATGATGTAGCGCTTGATGGCGGTGTGTGAAAATTCAGTGACTGCGGTGTACTGTAAGATATACCACGCTGTACCAAAATTCGACGTCTCTCCAATGCCTTACTTTGAGGGGTCAGGTGTTCAAATGAGTGGGTGCCGTGCTGGAATACTCCGGGAAAACGTGATGTCTTTCCCAAGTTGGAATATTTCGCATTCGTGTGTCCGGCAAATGAGAATGTGAATCACAACTCCAAGGTCATGAGAATTCGCGATTTGCCTGAGGATGGCAATGCTCGGTCGCACCTAGAAACCCTAATTCCGATCCGCTGGGAACTCGCCGGCGGATAGACTTGCTCAAATCCAGCGATCGGAGTGCTTGAGTGGGAACGGATAAAACCTCAACGGTCAGTATCTCTCGACGTCGTTCGGCATCAACAGGAAAAGACCGCCGTTTCCTCTGATCAAAAATTGTATGCAGGGTTGTTTGTCGGGTACCCACAGCAGACCAGACGTCACAAAAAAACGGCCGGCCGAAGAATAACCGCGTTTGTGTCGCCAAACCGACGCGCCGGACCTCTTGCACCTGGCCGCGGCTGACTCTGCCTGCCGGTCTTCACTACCTGTGCTGCCGGGTCCCGTCTTTCCGTAGACACCTTGACACCTCGCCTCGCTTTTTCGATTTTTCAGAGGTGCGGGCCACGGCACAGTGCCAATTTGCATCTCTCACCTCAGTCATTATGTAAGGCAGGTCCCTTTCTCCTCGCTTAACCAGGGGACCCGACTGATTGCCCTGTCAAACCTGGGACCTTCACTAATTACAGGTCGGTGCCCACCTGAGGCGGTGTCGGACTGGTCGGTGTCATTTTGCAAAGCAGAAACTCGGAAGCGAAAGTGAATGCTTCTAGAATTGGCACCTCGGGCCTATCGATTTTCATCTAATTACAAACATCCAATCCGCAACCCGCAGAACTGAGGAAAGTAGAAATGAGATCCTGGTGGTCGGAAATGAGGCTAGAACTTTTCTGCACACCTGCCACCTGGACCAAGCGTCGACAATGGCAGGCGGACGAGTTACACAAACTGGGGCAAGAGTTGGAGGGGTTCAATGGATGGCCCATAGGAAAGGTATGGTATTATGCGACACCTTTGAACGGGCATATCGTGGTCTCATGAATCTGCTGCTTTCTGTCCAAAGTGTGACCACGGCATTGCGTGTTGGAACTTCGCGTCGTCCGGGCGCAAGACACGCCACGAATTTACCCGCGAGTATGAAGCTGCAATGAGTAATGGGCTCGAATGTAGTTTAGTATTCACGTATCTCTACAACATCAGCTGGCTAAACGTCTGCGCCTATGCGTGTTGCAACAGCTCGATATCGGCAGACGTGACCAGGGGTCGGGCCTAATGTGGACAAGAAACTTTGGCATTCCATCAGTGACGCACTTTGTGTGGTTCGGTGAGATATCCCGGATGTCCAGGAATTCCACGTCTCCTTTTCTTGCCTATCCGTCCATCCCACGCAACGCAACGAACCACTACAGGCAATAAAGTGTCGCACAGCCCGCTTAGTGGAGACCGAGGGCGACAGATTTAGCTCAGATAACGATGACTTTTGTCAAATCGAGGAGCGGAAAGGTGGGAAGAAAACGAGTAACACCGTATGTCTTGGGGAAGACAAGTACGGAGTACAGAATACGGAATCTGGGACGGCATAGACAACTTGGGGAGGAGGGTCCATGCCGCCATCGTCCTTCTTTGCGCGCCTCCATCCGTCTCCGTACGCAAATCTGGAAACGATGACCAGACGCCGGGAACCCCAGGTGTGATGTGATCCATGTCATGATGTGAGGCGAAGAGAAGATGGCACGCATGGGCCGTATATGATCGTGCTGCTCTGCTGTTGCTGTGCTCCTTCCGGCTCAACAAAGCTTAGCCTCTCTTCAGTCCTGGATGGCATGTTCATGCCGCGTATGTAGGCGGTCCTGTGTGATAGGGTCGATCCAGCGGTTGTATCCGGATGGGTGTGAGAGTGCTTCCACATCTGGCCAGTCTGCTCATTGCTTGCTGTATCTCATCCTCCCCAATGGCCATTGACCACCGATTTGCCGTCACTAAATGTCGGAAATAGGGGCATCTTCCTAGTTGAATGTGGCCAGGGAAACCCCTTCCTGGCCCCAATTCGCTAGCAAATGCGCCTGTGAACCTACGCCGCATGCTGCTCCGGCCTCCGTCCTGCGCTATCCATCCTGCAACACGATTGGCCGGGCCAGGAAACGCAGGGGAGCTTACAGTACGGATATCTGTGCGGCAGGACAGTGGCATGTTGGGTCTGAGTCTGACCGTCTGTCTGGCTGGCTGTGCTTCACGTCGGCCATCAGTGCCCTTCCCGCGGGACGCGTCGCTGTATGTACGGAGAATGCAGGTAGGTATTCGATCTTTTCTCGTGCTTAGTCTACATAGCCGTGGAGCCGTGCTCTCGGCAGGGTTGTGCGCGTGCCGTATGCCGTGTGCTGTATGTGGGAGCTGGGGGAGGATCTGTATGCAACGATCAGAGTCCCTTCTTTTCTTCTTCTTCTTCGATGGTGGGGGAGGGAGAAGGTTGTCAAATCGAGCAGCATATCGTCGGGTGTGTGTACCGGCTGGGCATGTCGCACCTGGTGGAAAAGCTTCCTGGGCCAAGGCGATAAGGTGCAAGAGCCTCTTTGCAAGTTGAGAGCGAGATAGTGGCGGGCTTCCCATGCCATCCGCACATACCTTCTACGGCTCCCAGAGGCGGGAATGCCTGCCCTGCTTCCCGCTCTGTTTTCTCTCCTGTGAACGCAGGTGTCCCTGGTCCAGGTCCAATTCCGTCCAGTCCTCCTTTGGTTCCGGAGCCTTTGCGTCCCGTCCATCCAGTCAGTTCCCGTCTCTTTCTTCCATCAGGACCTGCCAGTGCTTGTACTGTATGTAACTCCCCCTCTCCAAGTCTCCCGTACCCGCTGAAATTGGGGTGGTCCCCTGAACGACCCTGACCGGGTGGGGTGGGCTCCATGCCCGTCGTCCGCATCAATGTGTCCTCCTCTCGGTACGCTCGTGTCGGCTGGCACTGGCTGCCATGAACTGGGAAGGTGAAGGGAACTGGTGCTGTCTGTAGCTGTCTGTCGGCTCGGATCCCAATCTCAAGTTTGTCCTGTCGTGTCTTTTGCTGGGAAGGAGTGGATGAGTGGAGTCTTCACTGTGCCTGGTTCCCATTGCCTGCACGCGCAGCTGCCCTGCACCTGAGGCCCTGTGCCGTGGCCTTGTCGGGGACTGTCCAATAGCCCCATTCTTTTTTGTCCTCCTCCCTCCACCCCCCAGTTGAGTGCCCCCGTTCCGCTGGCTGCTGCTGCTGCTACCCTACTATGAATATCTAAGGGAAAATGTCCCATCCTCTCCTTCATCCCATTGCCAAGTAGACTATTACGACGACGGCATCCCCAACATTCGCAGCCAGAATCTCGCTCTCGCTTCTCTTCGACTGTCCCGACGACACCTTTTTCTCTACTCTCGCTTCCATCAAATTTCAACCACATTCAGTCCCAGCATCTCCTATATACAACACCTGCATCAACATCAAACTCAACGTAACGTCAATTGCTGCTCGCTTTCCCCGTGACATCATCAAGGGGGCCGCCAGCACACGACAAATTCATCACTCCGCCGAACCCCAGCATCACGAGGACGCCGACGACGATCCCGAGAGCCCGCAGAGACTTTCCCCTCTTCCATTCCACCCACAAAACCCAACTCGCACCCCAACGCCCCCTTCAACACCGCCAAACTGTCTTCCCCAATCCTCCTCTCTCGCACCGTCTCGTACGACGCGGCCACAAATCCTCCGCGAAGTGGCAGCGGATCGTACAGAGCAATGGCGGAACCCGGTGCCCGCAGAAGGAGATCTAGCAGTATCCTCCAGGTCCATTACGAACCCCAAGAGACACTCGAGCAGATAAGCGACCAGGCCGTCGTGCCCAACCTCAATGCGAACTGGGTCAATGCCAAAGGTGAGCCCCGCGCGAAGCTCCCTGATCGGAAGCTATCCCATGGCCCCTTTCCATTCTCTTTGCTTTGGTCGCGTGCCAGCTCATCTAGTCCCATTGGAAGGTAGGAAAACAGGAACTGACAATCACCGTCTACAGGCGCGTGGACAATCCATTTCGTCCTCATCCTTTGCTTGAAGATATTCTACGATGTCATGCCGGGCGTGTCACAGGAGACATCCTGGACTCTGACGAATATCTCGTACATGTTTGGATCCTACATCATGTTTCATTACGTTCGCGGCGTGCCATTCGAGTTCAACGGCGGTGCTTTTGATAACCTGAACATGTGGGAACAAATCGACGATGGGGCTCAATACACACCCGCCAAGAAGTTTTTGCTCAGCGTGCCAATCGTGCTGTTCCTCCTCAGCACGCATTACACGCACTACGACCTCGCCTACTTTAGCATCAACTTCTTGGCTGTGTTGGCAGTTGTCATCCCCAAGCTGCCTTTTGTATGTTTTCCCCCTTTCTTGACACAGGACATACAAAGTTCAAAGCTGACAACGTACGCAGAGCCACCGGATGCGGTTCGGTCTGTTCAATGACTCCGATTACTAAAATGCGCGGCAATATGGCGTTAGGTTCTGGGAAGCGTGTTCCGAGAGTGGGAAAGAATGGAGTCGACAGAAGGCATACATAGCGAGCATGGTCCGACACGGAACACACAGAGCTGAGCATTGCAGACTGCAGATGCTGAGGGGAGCTTGGAGACAACAAGCGCAAGGCTTTTCGACCGCGTCGAGAGCTCCGTCAAGGTGCACAAATCACCACTCTTCCGTTTTCGAGTCACAACTACGGACGCCGCTCATCGGAGTCAACAAGCTGTGGGTGTCGAGTATCATGACCAAAGGTATACGGTGCGCTGCAGAATTATCACGAAAAGCGAATGGCAGGCTACCAAATGATGGAAGAGGTCCGATAGAGGTCCCGCCACCAATATGTACCCAAGCGTTTTCATCA